GTTCGTTAACATATGGTTCAACCGGTAACATCGAGATCGAAAGATTCTACTCGATCTGTATGTTAAGTTAAGTTAAGTGTAAGCTTGAGAATGTTAATAGATAGCGTGATGTTAACAAAGTTTCTGTGATGATAGTCTGTACGGAACTTGTCTCGGGATCTCGAACCTTTGTATATGAAAAATTGTGTGTAATCTGATATTTAATTGAATCTGATATCGGAAAATGCCAATGGAGTTTATAATTTACTAAATTTGCAGTTTTTAATCTGTTAAGTTACATACGCAAATAGAGATATTAGGAGAATATTGGACAATTTTGATAAGGCCTTTATGTATACTACAGAAGAAATTCAAAATTTGTATTGTCATTTATTCGAGAATTCATGCAAATGTGATTTTATTAGCGATTCTAGTATCATGTATTTTCATTTTGTTTCAGTGGCAGCTCTAATTTACTGGCGTGATCCAAAGAAATCAGGCCCCGTGTTCGGGTGCATACTCGGCGTGCTCCTCTCGCTGGCCTACTTCAGCCTGATAAGTGTTCTTGCTTATTTGTCTCTTCTCATCCTCACAGGCACTATTGCCTTCAGGATTCACAACACCGTCCTTCAAGCTATCCAGAAAACTTCCGACGGGCATCCTTTCCAGTAAGTGTCCTGACAAAGTGAAGAAATTCCTCGCGTCCAAAGAATGAACTTTGTTTCTTTTAAAAAAACAGAAAAATAGAGATGCGAGACTTTCTGAACTGAATTTGGAAAAAACTTAAGATTCAGGTAGTGATATACCGGCGTACTTAGTTACTTTTTAATTTCAGGAACATTTTGGAAATGGACTTGACATTGCCCGCGGAGAAGGTACACGAAGTAGCCGACGTGGCTGTTGCACACTTAAACGCAGGGGTCAGTGAACTTCGTAGGCTCTTCCTTGTCGAGGATTTCGTCGATTCCTTGAAATTTGCTGTACTTCTTTGGTGCCTCACCTATGTGGGTTCCTGGTTCAATGGCATGACTTTAATCATAATTGGTAAATTTTGGCATTATCTAAAAATGATACTTTGATACAAATCATATTTAAAGTGATTTATCACGAGTTGTTATCAATGTTTTTAGTTTTCTTCTGTCTCTAGTCGTTAGAAAATAGTTGTATGTATATTTGCCTGGAAACATTAATAGAACTGACGTCCCAACAAAATATTTAGCATCAGGAGACTGAGTTAATGGTTTAACGGTTTATTTGTACCCTCGCAGAAACGTATAACGAGGTCGTTGTTCTCGTTGAGCAACGTCAGAGTCTAAGCTAATATTATGTATGAATATTCGATGGAAACATGAATTGTGATG